GCGAGCACCTCTTCTGGGTGAAAGGCGGGTCTGACGTGCATGCAGCGGCGGGCGCTCATCCGAGGGCAGCTGGTCCCTACGGCCCCAAGTGAAGCGACAGCGGCGGCACAGCAGCACACGGGGCGACCCCAGTACCGCCATCGAGGCTAACTAGCGCGAGTAGGCGCGAGAAGAGGCCAGGATGGCAAGCCAAAATGGCTAGGCGCCCAGCGGCGTCGCGGCAGCACACGGGGCGGCCCCAGCACCGCCAGCGAGGCTCACGAGCGCAAGTGGACGTGAGAGGAGGCCAGGATGGCAAGCCAATGGCAAGCCAGAATGTCTAGGCGCACAGTTGCCCGTGCGAAGAGCGGAGGCTTAAGCAACAGGAGCCGCGGCGCGAGGGGGGCACCACTGTGGGCATGCCCGCACTCGCTGGCCAGGCGGCGTTGCTAAAGCTGGGGCGTAAGCAAACCTACAGGTTCAGCATCTTTGAGAGTGGCTGGCTCGGGATCTTTATATGGACTCCCGTAGCCTCCCCGAGGGCTTATAAGTATTCGATGCTGTGGGCCTGCTGGGTTTCATCATTCAGGCGGACTGGCCTGCTCCTTGCGCAATGGCTGCAAAGACCTGCTACGGCAGCGCTTGCACTTCTCCCCCGAGGTCGCCACTGCCGCCCGCCTGCCCTGAGGGCCCAAAGATCTGGCGCTCGAGATCTTCGCCGAGGGCCACGTTCAGGGCGGCAACATTAGGGATCTGCTGCGGGAGCGGGTCCGTCGGCGGCGGCGGGTCCGTCGGTGGCAGCGGCACCACAGGGGGCGCCGTCAGCGGCGGCGGTGGCGGGGCCATGATGGCCGCTGGCGGGGCCCCAGCACGCGGTGGTGGCGGGCCCTGGCTGCCGCGGGCCACGCCCGCTGGAGGGGCGCTGGCGGTGCGGACGGGGGTGGCACGCGGGGCGGCCCCGGTACCACCCCCGCCGCCCGCGAGGCTGCCCCCCCGAAGGTTGTGGCGGCGCTCGTAGAGCGCCAGCTCGTTGTACGCGGTCGCCAGGCGCTCCCTCTTGGCCCTATTCCGCTGCTTCTTGATGTAGCCCGCCCACTCTGGATCGTTCAGCCCCCAGGCGACTTGCGCGTACAGGTCGGTCCACTTGAACTCGGTCAGGCTCTCCCAGGAGAGCCCATCCATCAGCACATAGTGGCCCTCCCACTGCGGCTGCTGTGGAGCGTAGCGCTTGAAGACGGTGCCCACCGCCAGCGGCTCGACCTTGGGCAGGTGCTGCAGGAGGTCCACAGCGCTGATCACCGCTACCCCCTCCCTCTTGAGCTTGTCGTAACGCAGCAGGGCCTTCAAGTCGCGGATGTCCTCCTCAGGGTGTTCCGCGCGCATGTAATACGCACGTGGCGGGTTCTGCTCTTCCTCTATCAACTCGATGCAGACGCCGTAGGAGGTCGCGTAGCGCGCCCCACAGTGGCAGTACCAGCGCTGGCCTGTCTCCCCCACCGCCTCCTGCGCGCAGGTGAGCAGTTGCGTCCACCGATCCGAGCGGATCACCGAGCAGCATCCCCTGGGATTGTCCCAGGTCTTGTTGGCCGAGCACTTGTAGTACATGTTGAACGTGAAGCCCTTGCCACGGTAGAACTGGTCCGTGTAGTCGCCCATGCGTCGGTAGGACTCCTGCGCCATGGTGTTGCCCTGGCACTCCTCCCTCCAGGCACGTTTGTGTCCCAGGTGTGCGTCCGCGACCCCCGAGGCTTCCAGGAGGCCCTTCTTCAGCCTTCCCACATCATCCTTTGCCTCCGCATTCAGCGCGTCGAGCCACTTCTGGACCCCGTCCTGCGCCTCTGCGCCCCTCACCATGTCCTCCTTCTTCTCCAGGGTGGGCCCCAGGCCTCCCAGCATGTGGGTGCGCATACTACGATTACTAAGATGACTACTACTACTACTACTACTACTACTACTACTACTACTACTACTACTACTACTACTACTACTACTACTACTACTACTACTACTACTACTACGACTACGACTACGACTACGACTACGACTACGACTACGACTACGACACACTAATTTACTACTACTACTACTACTACTACTACTACTACTACTACTACTACTACTACTACTACTACTACTACTACTACTACTACTACTACTACTACTAGATGTTGCGCAGGTGCCTTCCGAGCAGGAGGAGGCAGGCAATGGAGGAGGAGGAGGAGGAGGAGGAGGACAGGAATGGCGAGGAAAGAGAGATTAGGAGAAGCAGGAAGAGGGGGACGGGGAGGGGGACTAGGAGAAGGAGGAGGAGGAGATTTAGGAGGAGGAAGAGGTGGAGTAGGAGGAGGTGGAGTGTGAGTGGCCCAATTGAGCCCAAATGACTACGGCTTGGTCCCTGGATGGCAGACATCCGGCGAAGATTGCTACAAGGGCGTTCCCCCCTCGGAGCAGCCATGAACAGGCGCGGGAGGACAGAGCAATGGAGTGTATCGCTGGATTTGCCCATGGAGAAGCGTCTCCATTTAAGCTTTCGAAGGCCCGCCCAGACAACTACATTTCGACGGTCAGCACTGCTGTGAGAGGCAGCCAGTGGCAGCGGGGCCTGGCGCTGCTCCGCGAGATGTGGGAGGCGAAGTTGGAGCCCGACGTCGTCTCTACTACATTGCAGGCACCCGCGCGTGCGAGAAGTGCGGGGGTCCGACGCGCTCCCTCGGCGCTCCCTGCGGGCCCGGCGGGCTACCTCGAGCCCCAGCTGGCCTCGGCGCGCTTCCAGGAAGGCCCAAGAGCGCTCCGAGACCCTATCGGAACTCCCCGAGAGGACCCCAAGATAGCCTCCAGACGGCCCAAGAGGGCCTCCGAGATGGTCCAAGAGCGCTCGAAGACGCCCAAGATAGCCTCCAGACGGCCCAAGAGGCGCCCAAATTGCTCCAAGTGGGCTCCAAGAAGAGCCCCGAGAGAGCCCGAACCAGGAAAAATTTTCCAAATCCTGAAGGAAAACGTCCATTTTAGCAATTCCCGTGTTTTTCGTTTTGAAAGCGCCCAAGACGACAATACTGTCGCCCAAGATCGTCACCAGAGCGCCCAGGAGGCTCCCGGGAGGGCCCCAAGACGGCCTAAAGCGGTCCCAGGACGGCTCCTGAGGCGCCCATGGCGGCCCACGAGGCTCCCGTGACAGCCCCAAGAGAAGCCAAAGACGACCCGAGAGAGCCCCAAGGCGGTCCCAGGACAGCCTTAGGCGGTCCTTGACGGCCCCAAGACGGGCCAAGGGGCACCCAAGACGGCCCAAGAGGGCCCCAAGAGGCTCCCGGGAGGCCGCCAGACGGCCCAACAGGGCCCCGAGAGGTTCTTATAAGGCGGAACAGAAGCCCTGGGACGAGGCCACACCCGCGGAAAATAAATTACGATATTTAGGTTTATTTTCCGACGCCCTGGGGCGGAGCAATCAACCATCGCCCAGGATTTTCGTCGACTCGCCACGTCCACGGAATGACAGCACCTACTTCGAAGTCTCCCAGGCTCCAGATGGGGCACAGACGTCTCGCCCGGATCGTTCGCGGATCAACGACGCCCATGAAAAATACTCCGTAACCTCGGAGGCCATTCTCCATGCTCCCGCGGTCGGCCCCCCCAAAACCCTCAGACCATCCCTCGGCCCGACACGCCGACGGAAAATAAATACCGTGCTCGAGGTTTATTCTCCGAGGTCCCAGGTGGGCAAAAGGGTTCTGGAGAGACGTCGTTCGTCTACCTGCGCTGTGGTGCTGACTCTGGAGTTCTGGGTTTCGTTTCTGCGCTGTTCCGTTTCTATCCTCCCCATGCATGACCCGGGGCGCGGCCACACCCACGGAAAATAAACCCAGACTTCGAGGTTTATTCTCCGACGCCCCAGGGCGGAGCCATTGACCCTCGCCCACGACGTTCGTCGGCTCGCCGCGTCCACGGAATGCCAGTACCAACTCTGAAGGTTTCCCCCCAGGCTCCGGATGGGGCACAGACGTCTCGCGCGGATTGTTCGTGCATCAACGACGCCCACGAAAAAGACTCCGTCACCTCGGAGGCCATTCTCCAGGGTCCCGCGGTCGGCCGAGAAAACGCCCCCCAAGACCATCCCTCGGCCCGCCACGTCGACGGAAAATGGACACCACGCTCGAGGTTTATTCTCCGAGGTCCCAGGTGGGCTCCAGGGTTCTGGCGAGATGTCTTTCGCAAACCTGCACTTTGGCGCTTACTGGAGTTCTGGGTTTCGTTTCTGCGGAGGTGGAGGGCGGAGGAGAAACCAACATTGTGTCAGAGAAGGGCGCGCAGCGGTTCTACCCTCCAGCTCGGCGCACCCCTCACACGGCTCGCGGCTGCATACGGAGCGCTGCCCGTCTCCGAGGGTGCGGGCACAAGGGGGCGAAGGTTACCGGGCCTCGCGCGGCTCAGCGCTGCGAGGTGTTAGGGTGGCACAGGATTTGGGCGTGCTTTTTCGAGAGGCGGCCCAGGCGATGGACGCAGAGAGGATGCCAGCCTCTGCCCAGGCTCGGGCCAGACGAAATCGGCGGAGGCCGAGTTCACACACAGACAGTTCGCCTTCAGGAGGGCTCATCGCCGCCACGGCTGGACGCAGCAGACAACACTGGTGCGCTTCGACGGTGGAGGAGGGCCCAGGGACCGAATCTGACAGCTCTGCCCCCCCCCCTTCCTCGGCCGCGACAGGCTGTGCAGGCCCGCGGGACGCCCCGCCAGTTCGACGGAGTGTGGGCCCCAATCCACCGGCCAGGCGCAGGCGGCACGCCGCGCGCCACCGTCATCGTCGTCGTCGCTGCCACTGCCAACGTCCAAGGCGGGGCGCTGCTGGAGAACGAACTCACGCCATGTGGATAGCCTTTCGGCAGCGTTTCCGCCGCTCCCCCCTGGAACCACTTCGGCAAGATGTCGTGGACGGAGTCCACGGGTCAGCCCTAGTCGGCTACAACGTTGGGATCAGCGCGTGCGGGAAGGGCGCGCAGTGGCAACGGGCTGTGGCGCTGCTCAGCGAGATGTGGGAGGCGAGGCCGAAACCGGATGTCGTCAGCTACAACGCTGTGATCAACGCGTGCGGGAAGGACGCACAGTGGCAGCGGGCTGTGGCGCTGCTGAGTGAGATCAGGGAGGCGAAGCTAGAGCCAACTGCGATCAGCTACAGCGCTGGGATCAGCGCGTGCGAGAAGAGCGTGCAGTGGCAGCGGGCTCTGGCGCTGCTGAGAGAGATGCTGGAGGCGAAGCTGGAGCCCAACGTCATCAGCTACAGCGCTGGGATCAGCGCGTGCGAGAAAAGCGAGCAGTGGCAGCGGGCTCTGGCGCTGCTCCGCAGAATGCGAGAGGCGACGCTGGAGCCAACCGTCACCTATACCTTCTAACGCCAGGCGCACAGCGCGCGTGAAGGCAGAGAGCTCACGTGGGCACAAACCAGCCCCGCTGGCACCGGGGCGCCGCCGGGCGCCCCCGACACGCTCCAAGATTGCCCATGACAGCCCCAAGATGGTCCAAGATGGCCCGAGACGCCTCCAGGCGGTCCAGGAGGTCAAGAGTATAGCGCTCAGACGGCCCAACAGGGCCCCAAGACGGCCCAGGAGTGCTCCAAGGGGCCCCCACAGAGGGCCCCGAGAGGCCCAAGTCATCGATTAACCGCATGTGGGTTTTCAAGGAATTTGACGTCCTCTCCTTTTCGAGCTTCCGACGCTCCAAGACGGCCCAAGAGGCCCTTAAGATCGCCCCCAAGACGGCCCAACAGGCCAACAAGAGGGCCCCCGGATGGCCCAAGGGTGCCCCAGACGGCCCAAGAAGGGTCCCAAGATTGCCCAAGAGGGCCCCAAGAGGGGGAGCTCGAACTGTCATGTCGCACCCTCCCCCCAAGATGACCCCGAGACCGCCAGCAGGCCACCGAGAGGCCCCCATAGAAGCCCCAGGAGGCCCCCAAGAGGCCCCAAGAAGGCCCCAAGATACCCCCCAGAGACATCCCGAGAGGCCTCCCCGCGCGAGACCCCACGAGACCCTCAGGAGCTCCCTCCCCTCTCCTTCCCTCTTCCATTTCCTCGATCCTGATTCCTCAACCCTCTACGGGCAGCAGGTTTGCGCCAGCAAGCCGACGCAACGAGACATGAAACCCTACGGAATCAAGCGGCAGCAGCGAACGGCAGCAGCACAAAGCAGGCAGCAGCAGCGGCGGCACAGCAGCAGCAAGCAGAAGAAGGCAGCGGGCAGCAGCACGTGCCAAGCAGAAGTCGCCATCAGCAGCACTCGGCAGCCACAAGCAGCAACAAGACGCAGCAGCGGTTAGCATTACCAGTAATAGCACGCAAGAGCGGCAGCAAGCAGCAGCTCAAAGTAGTATGCGCGAAGTGCGAGGGCCGAGCCCCGCTTCATTGTTTCAGCACGTCGGCAGCATATGCACAAATTACATGCTCGTGCATATCTAGTGGACGTAGTCCACGGGTCAGCCCTGGTCTCTCCTGCAGTACTGGGAACAGTGCGTGCGACACGGGTTTCTGCATCGAGGTGCATTTTTGTTTTTTTTTTTTTTTTGTTTTTGTTTCTTAGTGTTTTTTTTTTTTTTTTTTTTTTTTGTTTTTTTTTCTTTTTTTGTTGTTTTTTTTTTTTTTTTTTTGTTTTTTTTTTTTTTTTTTTTTCTTTTTTTTTTTTTTTTTTGTTTTTTTTTTTTTTTTTTTTTTTTTCTTTTTTTTTTTTTTTTTTTTTTTTTTTTTTTTTTTTTCTTTTTTTTTTTTTCTTTTTTGTTATTTCTTTCTTTGTTTTTTTTTTGTTCTTTTTTTTTTTGTTGGGGGCTGTTTTTTTTTTTTGTTTTTTTTTTTTTTTTTTTTTTTTTTTTTTTTTTTTATTTTTATTTTTTTTTTTTTTTTTTTTTTTTTTTTTTTTATTTTTTTTTTTTTTTTTTTTTGTTTTTTTTTCTTTTTTTTTTTTTTTCCAGCGGTTCCGAGCCGCTGACGAGGGCGGCCCCACGGCCCGGCCCCACGACGGCTCCAAGGGCGCTCTAGAGGCCGCCCCGACGGCCCACAGACGGCTCCGAACCGCTCAAGAGGGCGCCCACACGACCCCAAGACGGCTACGAGCCGCTCCAGAGGCCACCCCGACGGCCTCAGGGGCGCTCCAAGCCGCTCAAGAGGCCGCTCCGACGGCCCCAAGGGCCCCCAGGGCAGGCCAGGAGCGTCCGAAGACGGCCTTCGCGGATTTCCCAGGACAGCCACGAGACGCAAAAATCTTCACAGTCCTTTCGGAAAACTAACATGTTTGGCAGTATCGTTCTTTTCGTCTCCGACGCGTCCACGACGGCCACGGAACCCCCCACGATCGTTCCGAGATGCATCCATCAGGGCCCAAAGACCAGCCCAGGACGGCCCAAGAGGCGCCCAAGACGGACCAGAAGGCACCCAAGACAGCCCAAAAAGGCAGCCCCAGACGGCCCAAGACGGCCCCAACACTGCCCAATAGGCGCCCAAGACGGCCCCAAGACGGCCCCAAGACAGCCCCAAGAGCTGCCCAAGACGGCCCCCAGACGGCCCAAGAGGCGCCCAAGACGGCCCAAGCCCGTTCCGAGACGGCCTCAACGGCACCGACGAGATCCCAAGAGGGCCCCAAGAGGCCTCCTCGAAGCCGAAAAGAAGACCCCTGAGGCCCCTACACGGCCCCCAAGAGGCCCTAAGTGGTTTCTGAATTCCCTCCAACAGAGGGGGGGCGGACGAGAGGTTAGAGGCAGAACGCAGGCCCCAACAGCCGTTGTCGATGCTCCGACGGTCTACGGTTGACGATCCAAGACCCAGGGCATGCAGGATCGAGGCAAGAAGGCGGAGGAGGCAGAGGAGGAGGAGGAGGAGGAGGAGGAGGAGGACGACGACGACGACGACGAGGGGGAGGAGGAGGAGAAGGAGAAGGAGGAGGATGAGGAGGAGGAGGAGGAGGAGGAGGAGCAGGAGGAGGCGGAGGCGGAGGCGGAGGAGCAGGAAGAGGAAGAGGAATCCCGAGAAGGCCCAGAAGAGAGCCTCATGAGGGTCCAGATGACGTACGGAGCTCTGAACGTGGTCCCAAGATGGCCCAAGAGGAGCCCAGACGGCCCAAGAGGGTCCCAAAAGGTACCGAAGAGGCCCACAAGCGGACCTGAGAGACCCTCGACCCCCCAAGAGGCCCCGGAGAGGTATCAAAGCTGCCTCCGAGAGGGGAGGCTCGGCGCTCCTGACACGCCCGGGAGAGCCCAACGGAACTCCAACAAAACGGCCCCCCCCAACGCAGCGGAGCACGTCCGACCCAGCAGCGGATTCTGCCAAGATTTGATCAGGCTTCGCACCCTCCTGAAGCTCTCTTGGGCCCTCCCTGCAGATCCTTGCGAGCCTCCCCGGCGCTCCGTGTGGCTTTCCCCGAGGGCCTCCCGAGCCCTTCCCCTGGCGCTCCTGAGACGCCGCAGATTAGCTTCGACTTTGACGCACATCCCCGAGAGGCTTCAAAACTGCCCTCAATAGGAGGGGGGCGAAAGAGCCGCGCGCCGGGGCCAAGCTGCTGCAGCGCTGCAAGAGCTCGGACACGAAGTCGCGGTCTCGCTGCCGCCGCCCCAGCCGCCGCCGTGCTTATAGGTTTTCGGCAAAATCTCCGCCGTTCCTCCGAGAACCATTCCAGAAAGATGTCGTGGACGGAGTCCACGGGTCAGCCCTGGTCAGCTACAACGCTGGGATCAGCGCGTGCGAGAAGGGCGAGCAATGGCAGCGGGCTCTGGCGCTGCTGAGCGAGATGCGGGAGGCGAAGCTGGAGCCCAACGTCATATCTTCTACAATGCAGCGATCCTTGCGGTCGAGAAGGTCCTCTGTCCCGAAATGCCCCCCCGGGCCCTCCGAGGCGCCCTGCGAGTCCCCCGGGCGCTCCGAGACGGCTCCGGGGGGCCCCAAGATGCCCCAAGACGGCTCAGAGACGCTCAAGAGGGCGCCCCGACGCCACAAGAGGACCCCGAGCGAGCCCTAGAGGCCCAGGCCCCTAGAGGATTTCAAGGCAGGCCAGGAGGCTCCCGAGACAGCCCAGGAGGACCCCCATGAGAGCTCCAAGAGACAAAAATCGTCCCACGCCCTTCGGACTTCGTGTAGTGTTCCTATGTCCGTTCTTTTCGTCAGCACAGTCTCCAAGACGGCTGTGCAGGCCCCCAAGACGCCCCCAGGAGGGCCCCAAAGCAGACAGAGACGACCCCAGAACGGCTGACAGCCCAAGAGGCACCCAAGACAGCCCCGAGAGCGCCCAATAACGTCCCAAGATGGCCCCAAGAGGGCCCGCAGATGGCCCGAGAGGCGCCCCAGCCGGCCCCACATCGCCCCAAGACGGCCCCAGAGGCACTCTAGACAGCCCAAGAGGGCCCCGAGAGACCCCCAGGAGCAAACGGCCCCCAAGAGGCATTGGATGCTTGTCTCCTAGGGAGCGTCGACGAGTGACGATCGAAGATCGACGGGATGAAGGATCGAGGGACATGGAGGAGGAGGAGGAGGAGGAGGAGGAGGAGGAGGAGGAGAAGGAGGAGGACGCCCACAACTGCCCCACAAGCCGACAGGACCCAACGATCTGTCCCGAGCATGACCCGGAGGCCCCTAGAGGGTGCAGACACACCGAGACGGCTCCTAACGAAGATCGAAGGGATGAAGGATCCAGGGGAGGACGAGGAGGGCGCCCTAAATGGCCCAAGAGCCGATAGGAGCCACAGAATTGTCCCGAGCATGCCCCGAAGAAGGCCTCAAGAGTGTCTGGACACCCCGAGAAGGCTCCTGACGCGCAGCCCAAGAAAACCCAATGGACAGTTACTCCAGCGTCCTGTCGGTGATCCTCCCGTGCACCTGGCGCCTGAGCGGCCCCAGTGCGGAGTGGACAGATTTCGCCGCTGGAATGCCGCGGGCCAGCCCGAGTCTCTACTACATTGCAGAGACCAGTGCATGCGAAAAGGGTGGGCGTCCGATACGGGTTTTCGACGCCCCGGCGGCCCCAGCGAGGCCCAGCAGGCCCTTGTGCGCTTCCAAGATGGGCCAAGAGCGCTCCGAGACGCCCAGGGGACTTCCAACAGAGACCCAAGACATTCCAGGACAGTTCAAGAGGGCCTCCGAGACGGTCCAAGAGCGCTAGAAGACTCTCAAGATAGCTTCCACACGGCCCAAGAGGCCCCCAGAACGCTCCAAGTGGGCTCCCAGAAGACGCCCGACAGAGCCCGCACAAGCAAAAGCCATGCCCAACCCGAGGGAAAACGTACATGTTCGTACGTTCCGTGTCTTTCATGTGTAAAGCGTCCCAGACGACAATAAGAGGCCCCCAAGATCGCCCCAACCCAAGACGCCTCAGGAAGGCCCCAGCAGGCCTCCACGACGGCCCCAGACTGCGCCTGGACGGCTCCTGTGGCGCCCATGACAGCCCAAGGAGCACCCAAGACGGCCCCAAGAGCGGCCACAGATGGCCCAATGATGGCCTCCAGACAGTCACAAGATGGACCCACAGGCGCCCCAAACGGCCCCGAGAGGCACCCATGGCGCCCCAAGAGGCTCCCAGGAGGCCCAAGAGGCCCCCAGGAGGCCGCAAGACGGCCCAAGAGGACCCCAAGAAGCCCCCAGGAGCCCGAGAAGAAACCCCGAGAGGCCCCCAAACCGTTCCCAAGGAGACGGCAACGCCCGCCATCAGGCTTCGAAGAAGCATCGGAAAAAAGTCACCAGAGCCCTCCGGGTGACTTTTTTCAAGGCCCCAGGTGCTTTCAAAATTGACAAACGGCGAGACGCACACCGCAGACCTACCATAGCCATATGTGACGCTCCGAAGGCTGTCCAGGCGGAGGTGGAGCGAAAGGAGGACGAAGAGGAGGAAGCGGTCCAAGAGGGCCTCCGAGACGGTCCAAGACCGTTCGAAGACGCTCCAAACGAGCCGCGGCAAACGAAATCATTGATTCTTCGATGGCTTCTGAAAGATTTCCACCTTCTCGCCATTTCGAGCGAAGACTGGCCCAAGACGGCCAATTCGAGCCAAGACTGGCCCAAGACGACGTGGACGAAGTCCACGGGTTCGCCCTGGTCTCTACTACATTGCAGGGCCCAGTGCGTGCCAGAAGGGCGCAGGCCCCAATGCACCGAAACCGCCCCGGGCTGGCCCCGGGCCGCCCCGGGAGGCCCCAAGACACGTCAAGGGGGCCCCAAGAGGCCCCCAAGACGGCCCCAGAGGGCCCCGGCACGCCCAGCGAGGGCCCCAAGACGCTCGAGATTGGCCCAAGACGGCTCCAGAGGCCTCCAAGACTCCCCAAGAGGCCTCCCAAGAGGCGTCCCAAGAGGGCCCCGAGCAGCAGAAACCGTCGATTTCCATTGTGTTTTTCGATGGTTTCGGCCTCCTCGCCTTTTCGGCTTCCCGACGCTCCAAGACGGCCCAAGAAGTCCCCCCGACCGCTCCAAGACGGCCGAAGAGGACCCCAAGAGAGCCCCAAGACGGGCCAAGAGGGCCCCAAGACGGCCCCAAGACGGCCCAAGACGGCCCCAGGACGGCCCAGGAGGCGCCCCAGACGGCCCAAGAGGCACCCAAGACGGCCCCAGGAGCGGCCCAAGACGGCCCAAGACAGCCCAAGAGGCGCCGAGGCGGGCCTCAGACGGCCCCAAGACGGCCCAAGAGGCACCCAAGACGGCCCGAGAGGGCCCTAAGAGCCCCCCCGGGAGGCCCAAAAGAAGGCCGAAGAGGCTCCGAAACGGCCCCCACGAAGCCTTCAGTGGCTTCAGAATTCCCTCCAGGAGCGGGGGAGCGGACGAGAGGCGACAGGCATATCGCAGGCAAAAACGCCCCAAGAGATCCCCAAACGGCCCCCACGAAGCCCTAAGTGGCCTCAGAATTGCTTCCAGGAGGGGGGGAGCGGACGAGAGGCGACCGGCATATCGAAGGCACAAAAGACAATGTTGGACGCTCCGAGGGCCTTCGATGTTTCTCTGTTGGGGAGAGTCGTCGTAGGATCGACGATTGCCGACCGAGGGCATGGAGAATCCAGCGAAAGAGGAGAAGAAGGTGGAAGAGGAGGAGGAGGAGGCGGAGGAGGAGGAGGAGGGGGAGGAAGCAGCAGGACCTCCGAGCAGCAGCAGCAGCTGAGGAACACAGGAGAGCAGGAGGTCCTGGAGGGTGTGGAGAGCGCCTTCAACTGGCCACGTCGAGCTGATGTCGTGGACGGAGTCCACAGGTCTGCCCTAGTCTCTACTACATTGCAGGGCCCAGTGCGTGCCAGAATGGCGCAGGCCCCAATGCACCGAAACCGCCCCGGGCTGGCCCCGGGCCGCCCAGGGAGGCCCCAAGACACGTCCAGAGGGCCCCAAAAATCCCCCAAGACGGCCCCGGAGAGCCCCGGCACGCTTAAAGATGCGCCCAAGACGTCCGAGATTCGCCCCAGGAGGCCCTCGAGGCGTCCAAGACGCCCGAAGAGGCCTCCCAAGAGGCCTCCCAAGAGGGCCCCGAGCGACAGAAATCGTCGATTTCTATTGTGTTTTTCAATGTTTTCGGCCTCCTCGCCTCGTCGGCTTCCCGACGCTCCAAGACGGCCCACGACGCCCCCCCGACCGCTCCAAGACGGCCGAAGAGGACCCCAAGAGAGCCCCAAGACGGGCCAGGAGGGCCCCAAGACGGTCCCAAGACGCCCCAGGACGGCGTCAGGACGGCCCAGGAGGCGCCCAAGACGGCCCAAGAGGCACCCAAGACGGCCCCAGGAGCGGCCCAAGACGGCCCACGACAGCCGAAGAGGCGCCAAGGATGGCCTCAGACGGCCCCAAGACGGCCCAAGAGGCACCCAAGACGGCCCGAGAGGGCCCTAAGAGCCCCCCCGGGAGGCCCAAACGAAGGCCGAAGAGGCTCCGAAACGGCCCCTACGAAGCCTTCAGTGCCTTCAGAATTCCTTCCAGGAGCGGGGGAGCGGACGAGAGGCGACACGTGCGCTGGGCGCCTGGGCGGCCCCGTCGCGGAGAAGATCGCAGGGACGGGGACATCACGATGGCGAGCACCCCGCGCCATCACGACGTCGTGGACCGCGACGTCCGCCATTCTTGCGGGGAGTGCGCCCCGCATGTGCAGTGTCTGTTGAGATTTTACTGAATTTCAAATTTTCTTTAAGCTCTCTTGGGCCCTCCCTGTAGATCCTTGCGCTCCCCGGCGCTTTCGGTGGTTTTCCCCGATGGTCTCCCGAGCCATTCCCCAGGCGCTCCTAAGACGCCTCCGATGGGCTTCGACTTCGACGCACATCCCCGAGAGGCTTCGAAACTGCCCTCAATAGGAGAGGGGTGAACGAGCAGTGCGCCGGGGCCAAGCTGCTGGAGCGCTGCAAGAGCTCGGACACGAAGGCGCGGTCTCGCTTCCGCCGCCCGCGCCGCCGCCGTGTTTGTAGATTTTCGGTGCAAGCTGTGCCGTTCCTCCGAGAACCATTCCAGAAAGATGTCGTGGACGGAGTCCACAGGTCTGCCCTAGTCAGCTCGGGCCGCCCAGGCAGGCTCCAGGACATGTCGGGAGGGCCCCCAGAAGCCCCCAAGACGGCCCCGGAGAGCCCCGGCACGCTTAAAGATGGGCCCAAGACGCCCGAGATTCGCCCCAGGCGGCCCAAGAGGCGTCCAAGACGCCCGAAGAGGCCTCCCAAGAGGCCTCCCAAGAGGGCCCCGAGCGACAGAAATCGTCGATTTCTACTGTGTTTTTCGGTGTTTTCGGCCTCCTCGCCTCTTCGGCTTTCCGACGCTCCAAGACGGCCCAAGAAGTCCCCCCGACCGCTCCAAGACGGCCGACGAGGACCCCAAGAGAGCCCCAAGACGGGCCAGGAGGGCCCCCAGACGGTCCCAAGACGCCGCAGGACGGCCCCAGGACGGCCCAGGAGGCGCCCAAGACGGCCCAAGAGGCACCCAAGACGGCCCCAGGAGCGGCCCAAGACGGCCCAAGACAGCCCAAGAGCGCCCAAGACGCCCGAGATTCGCCCCAGGAGGCCCTCGAGGCGTCCAAGACGCCCGAAGAGGCCTCCCAAGAGGCCTCCCAAGAGGGCCCCGAGCGACAGAAATCGTCGATTTCTATTGTGTTTTTCAATGTTTTTGGCCTCCTCGCCTCGTCGGCTTTCCGACGCTCCAAGACGGCCCAAGACGCCCCCCGACCGCTCCAAGACGGCCGAAGAGGATACCAAGAGAGCCCCAAGACGGGCCAGGAGGGCCCCCAGACGGTCCCAAGACGCGCAGGACGGCCCCAGGACGGCCCAGGAGGCGCCCAAGACGGCCCAAGAGGCACCCAAGACGGCCCCAGGAGCGGCCCAAGACGGCCCAAGACAGCCCAAGAGCGCCCAAGACGTCCGAGATTCGCCCCAGGAGGCCCTCGAGGCGTCCAAGACGCCCGAAGAGGCCTCCCAAGAGGCCTCCCAAGAGGGCCCCGAGCGACAGAAATCGTCGATTTCTATTGTGTTTTTCAATGTTTTTGGCCTCCTCGCCTCGTCGGCTTCCCGACGCTCCAAGACGGCCCAAGACGCCCCCCCGACCGCTCCAAGACGGCCGAAGAGGACCCCAAGAGAGCCCCAAGACGGGCCAGGAGGGCCCCAAGACGGTCCCAAGACGCCGCAGGACGGCGTCCGGACGGCCCAGGAGGCGCCCAAGACGGCCCAAGAGGCACCCAAGACGGCCCCAGGAGCGGCCCAAGACGGCCCACGACAGCCGAAGAGGCGCCAAGGAGGGCCTCAGATGGCCCGAAGACGGCCCAAGAGGCACCCAAGACGGCCCGAGAGAGCCCTAAGAGCCCCCCCGCGAGGCCCAAACGAAGGCCGAAGAGGCTCCGAAACGGCCCCTACGAAGCCTTCAGTGCCTTCAGAATTCCTTCCAGGAGCGGGGGAGCGGACGAGAGGCGACCGGCATATCGAAGGCACAAAAGAACAATGTTGGACGCTCCGAGGGCCTTCGATGTTTCTCTGTTGGGGAGAGTCGTCGTAGGATCGACGATTGCCGACCGAGGGCATGGAGAATCCAGCGAAAGAGGAGAAGAAGGTGGAAAAGGAGGAGGAGGAGGAGG